TTCAATCACATATAGAACACAAGCATTTGAATTGTAGTTACGTGATCAGTTGACGCCTAATTATTTCGAAATAATGTAAATAGCTAAAATTCTAACGTTAAATACCTGAGAATAATTAATTAATTTAATGAATTTATTCATTGTGTAAATACTGTAACTCAATAGTTCACTTAATTACACATTTCTATTATACAATCGTTTATGATTAGAATTTACTAAAGTAACGTTAGTTTACTTAACACACTGTTAGGTATTTTAAATACAATCATAATAATGTATAATCGTACACCTACATGTATAGACAAACACAATCAAAATAATATCCAAAGCCCATCAATATCAAACCGTAGCAATAATTAAATTTCGACCTTCCACAATCGAATAATTCGAATAACTCGTCACATAACTAGAGGCACACCTCTATTCCATCTAGGAGACGTGACGAGAAACCCACTATACGCCTTTAACGAAACCTTTGAGGGCCAATGGAAGGATTTTCAATTTTGAATGCGAATCTCAAACGTCCTTGGGACGCGATAGGATTATCTAAGTTAAGTTTGATATACTTACCTACCTAGGTAAAGTTCTTCAGTTCAACTTATTTGTGTTAATGAATGTACCTACTTCCATTTAAATTTAGTAATAAATTCTTCGGTTTATGCATTATATTACAATGTCTGTAGAGTTGTACCAATAACAATATTTTTATTCTTATGTTCGTTTTAACAAAGTTCGTCTTATTCCTATTAGAATAAGGCCGAATACTACGCATATAATTTGCCTAAACACAGCACAAATAAAGAGTCATACCATTGCTCAGTAAATAGTACAAATGAGTAGATACCTGTGTATATTTTTTCATCAACCTTTTTCTTTATAAGACCAAAATCAAGGTAGACCTACAAGGTTATTCTACCTTAAATTTTATAAAGAACCTAACAACGAGTATATCCCTATATACATATCTGCTGCGTAGTTTCCTATGTCTACGTGTTTCTAAACAGGCTGGAACAAAAGCCGAGGCTAATATTTAACTTACCCCGCCCTCAGGCAAACGAACTAAAGTTTCCCATCACTACGAATGTACACTACAGCGCTTTTATTGTTTTTTATTTTAAAAATTTAAATTGAAAATTAGAACGTGACGTTTTTTCTGTTAAAAATAATAAGTGCTTTTTTCGCGCGTATCCCTTTTAGGTATGTTCTCTTTTCGAATTTAGTGTTATGTAATTTTTTTGTCTTGTTTTTTAACCTCTTCTAGGTTTTTGTTTTTATAATTCGAATTCGTAATAATATGCCTGTATTTTTTTAATCCTTGTATTTCTTCTTGTATTTATTGATTATTTTAGACACTAACTTATCTACAAATTATAATTGATTTATGGAAAATTGTACCGATCTACCTATGGAATATAAAATAGTCATAAGACCTACAATGAAACAAATCAAGTTATTATTATTGTTTAATGTCCAAAGTTGATAATTACATTATAAACAGAAGCAAACATTGCAGTCTGGCGTCAAGCCAAATGGAAGTACTCCATGGTAATCAAATGAAATGTCATAATTTTATTTTAAAACTCAGTTAAAAACGCCCGTGTTCTACGAATATTCATTAGGGCAACTCTTTTGATGTTAAAAACTTCACTTTTAACTGAATTTCACATCAGTTGACACCTTTATTAATTAAATTATGATTTATTACACGGAATTAAATGTAATAAAATTACATTTTATTATTCTTATAATAGACAAGTGCAATACTTTTTTCGAAATGTCAACTGACATTTGGAGTGAATATGAAGGTTGATACAAAGTGTGTGAAAAAATAGGTGTCATACACACTGGCAGTATATTCGACAACACCGTTTTGGAGACTCGGTTGACAAAGAAGAAAAAAAAATAGGTGTAATATTTATGTGAAAATATCGAAAGTATGTAAGTACAATACTTATAACGTACGTATAAATTTATATAAAAAACCCTGTGAACTACAGTTTAGTTCCTAAATATTTCTAATACCTAAATGTATTTACTAACAAATACGTAATTCAAACTACTCAGATGTACTATGAACACTATTCAATTGTTGATCAATTGTCAATTCTCGATACATTTCAAGTGTCGTAAATGTAGACAAGTATCCCTTCTGAGGAACTAACTGAGGGCCAAAGTAGTCGGGAGGGTCGCAGGACAATGGACACCCTCGAAAAAGACCCTCAGAGGTCACATACCTCCTCTAAAAGGGGTTTTTTGTAAACACTATCTTGTGTTCCGATAGAAAAAGAGTTTACTTTATCTAACAATATCTTTTTAGAGAACGGGTAAACCGCCGTTCTCTTAGCAAAAATCACTACTTTATATGTATACAATTGTGTCGTAGGATTTTATTTGTGAATCGAAATCAAGAGTCCATGTGAGAACTAGGTTTTTCAACGAAATAATCTTTATCTCCGTTGTAAATTGTACTCTATTTACATTTATGTGACGGTATGGATGAAAGAACTAGCTCTAGGCAATGTAACAGGCGCACATAAAAGCCATTTTGCCAAAATACGATTTGACTATAAACTTACTGATTAAAAAAATCTACATTTGCGAGAAAACAATGAATAATTTGAACATTTTACTTAGTACAAATATTTTTATAAAGTCGTTTAATTTAGTACTTTCTAAGAACCCGTAATACCTAATGGTTGTTTCTCAAACGGCCATAACTCAGTTCAAACAGCTTTAATAAAGCGCTTACTGAAAACGCTAGCTAAACCATTCCCCAACGTAACGGGCAGGAGCTAAATATTTTTAAACCAACACGGTCATTACGGCCATTTTGTTTTGCATTTCACAAATACCTAGTAACATTGGAGCCAGAGCCACCAGTGACACAGCAAATTACTTTTTAGAGGAAATTTCGCGTACTCACAGTTGTAACGAGCATTCGGTGGTCGCGCCCGCAAACAACCAAACCGACCAACTAAAAGTTTAACTTACGGACTTGTTCGTTCCCGAATTGCGTAATAGTTGGTCCGTGAGCCGACCTCCGAGCCGAGCCGCGTCATCTATAGGCCTCGTAATGAGTGCAATAACTGCATGCCACTGTCGGCTGCGTAATTATATACCATTATCTGGGAGATAGATGTAGATAGACGCGTGGTGTGGATTTCCTGATTATACGCCGACGGCCAATGGACTGGAAGAGCGGTTTCGAGGCACTTAGTATTGATAGTGCGGCTTGACTTTGAAGTCCTCGGAATATAGACCTTAACTGAATTGAATTAAGATGTAAAATCAAAGCACAGTAATTACCAACGGTATGCTAATAAGGGGTATTGTTAAAAGTACATTTAAAACTTACGTTTTAACCAAACAACAACCCTACGTGAACAGCGAACACGGAACTGCGTTTACAACAATTTGAAATGAAACAAAACACAATCAACGTACATAGTTGAAAACTAATAGCCGTAGCTCACTGCTTTCAAAGTGCACCTACAAATGAAATAGGGTATTAGACGTATTAGCTGACTCAGGCACAATGGACACACAGTTTTCAGAATTACTAGCAAATGCTGGCAAACTATACAATTGCCATGAGAAATGACAAGTTAAAAAGCGACTAAAGCTTTCCGATCGGTCTAGTTATGGGAACTAGTGACTACGTTTAATGAAATTGTTATAAACATAGAGGGTGTAGCGTAATCGCAGGCCTAGTGGGAACGGCCATGTGGCCCGGCCGGCCAGTGGTTAATGCGAACCGATGAAGAACTGGGGCCATGAGGTTTAAGCGTATTTGCGAAAAGATTAAGCTGTGATTTGATTGCCCCTATTTGTTACAATGAGTGGCGTTTAAATTACTTTGTCAGACTTTGATGTTATATGGAATTACTTGACATTGTGCTGTCCACTTCACTTGAAGGTTCCTCTTTTTGATCCTCGAAAACCTTTCGCTTTACTTTGATGTTGACATTAAACAATCCGATTCCGTCTTTTCATTGTAACGTGTATCAACACAATTTTACTTCATAAACTCTTTGATTTAACAAAATACTACCAGAAATCCTTAGCAGTTTCTCAAAATCGCTGTCGCTCAAGAACACGCTGACTTAACAGCCAACCACCGTCTGTATAATAAGCCCATTCCATTTTAACGTTTCCAACATGGAAATTATAGAGAGCTGGTTGAATCCCAGTGTATTTGCTTCTCAAACATGACAGTCTCAGTGGTAATTTGCACCGAATGGTATTATCGAGTGCACCCCACATTGTGGAACACCCTGTGTATAGGCAATGGCGTGACGAGTGAGCGACGTACGTAGTCTGTAATTGAAAGCTTCGGACAATGGCAGCTAATATAGATTTACGTTCTTTGAAAAATATTTGATAAGTAGGTAGATGTGTAGTTAGTGTTTGTGACATTGTTTATTTATTAATGGAAAAAGCACGCAAACTTTCACAAAATTAAATAGTTCAAAATTGGGTAGTTTCCAGGGCAAGAAAATTAAAAATCTAATTAGTCCGTCAGTTAGATAATGAAAAAATATTAGACACGTATTTTTTTATTTTTTCGTATACTTACTTAGATAAAATGGAGTAAAGTATAGGAGTGGGAGGTAGTTGCGTCACAACGTGCTATATTTTGTAGCACTCTGTGACGTCACACGACATTTCAAATCAATATAATTATCGTCGAAAGCATTTAATTTTGTGGGAAAAGAAAAAATACGTGTGTAATGTTTTAAAATAATCAACCAGACGGACATTAAAATAAAATTTAGGAAACTACCCTATTAACCAATCTTCTTAAACTAAATGTACCTTTCGGTATGGCAAGATATAATTGTGAATCTTTCATAAAATCTCCTAGAACATTCACATAATAGGTATCTAGATAATTCTAAATGTTTATATATTTACCAGAATAGTTCTAGAGCCCAAATTAGAATGATAATTATTTACACAATTCAAAGATGTCTTACAAAAATCTTGTTCTTTGTCCACAGATGTCGCCTCTCCGAGCTGGAAGACGGCTAGCAACCTTCATCACGTCCAATGCCTTCCTGGTAAGTTGATATCACCTTATTTACAAACACAAAAGTGCTGTCGCATGTTGCTTATATTTCAGCATGGGTGATAACGATGATGATGAAGCCTAAATGGCATTTAAGTGACACTGCAACGCGTCTGAGAAAAAATCATAAGCTTTAAATATTATTGTTTGGTAATAGTAATAGACTTATCATATCACTGAAGAAAAGTGAGTGTAACGTTACACCTATGTAACTGTGTAGCTGTGCACCTCCTTAGGGAATAACAGCTTGATTTTACACCACGTAAAAATTATGCTGACTGCCTCGTTGGCCGAGTTGTCGCGCAAGTGCGACGACGCACGAGCAAGGGGTCTCGGGTTCGATTCCCGGATCAGGCAAAGTATTACTTACTGGACTTTTAAAAAAAATCTCAGTACCTAGTGGCACGGAGTCTGGAATTGTGCCCGGTATATGGCAATAGGCTCACTCCCTATTACAATTACGTGGGACTCATAACATAAATAGTGAAAAGTGGGTGTTGCATTGCACAGTGGCATTAAGTACCGTAATGTGCACCTCTGCCTACCCCTTCGAGGATAAATGGCGTGATATTATGTGTGGTAAAAATTACGACATTGCTCAATAATATTATACTACACGCTATCAATTCGAACAAAAACAACGAAAGCTGTCAGACTACGATACTAATAGGGACATTTTCTTTACAAACCACATTATTAATTTATTGTCGGCCAGCTAATTCTGTTCCCTTTTGTAATTATAATTAATGGCTGCCATACTAACTCGGTTGATTTATGTAGATACACCGACTAGGCGTCTAGACTGGATCTAGATTAACACGCGTGACAATACCTGGATTAATTAACCGACCCAAGTTTAAATTAAATCCGTATAATAATCACTATTAAATCTATACTAATATTATAAAGCTGAAGACATTGTTTTTTTGTTTGAACGCGCTAATCTCCGAAACTACTAGTCCGATTTGAAAAATTCTTTCTGTGTTGGATAGCCCTTTTATCGAGGAAAGCTATAGGCTATAAAATATCGCGCTACGATTAATAGGCGCCGAGCAGAGTTAGTGAAACCGCGCGGAAGTAGCTAGTATTTGATAATCCTCTTTTGTTTTCGCCTTACCTCACTGGATTGGAGGTGGAATAGATTGAATCAGATAGCGCAATGTGTTAAATTCCTTTAGGGTTTTTCTTTCGCAGTTGACTGCCATTCTTACTCAAAGACACTCATATCTACGCGAGTAACATCTATAAACACTCAATTGAATTAACACACTGTTCAACTCAATTAATTAATAAAAAATACATAGACCACCTATACATATATTGACTACACGGTTGTTGGGCAACTGACTGCCGCGCAACGTGTCGCGGGTTCGATTCCCGCACGAAACAACTCTTTGTGTGATCCACAGATTGTTGTTCCGGGTCTGGGTGTCAAGTGTATGTGAACTTATATGTTTGTAAACGCACCCATGACACAGGAGAAAATCCTAGTATGGGGCAACGATTTTATAAGAAAAAAAATTACTTGAATGAATTTTAGGGTTTGAAAAGGTATTCATACCTATCCGTCCGCAAACCTCTACATAACGTCCATTCACTCAGCAACTTAAACAAAGAAAAACAACAATAAAATACATCGGAGAGTATTCAATAACTCAAAAAATACATTCGGCGCGGTTCTCTGTTCTCGGCCACTACAAACAGAACTATAATAATATGTAGTAAGAGTAGCTTTTCCAATTACGTGTACGTGTAATAAATCTCGATGAATTTATTGATAACGTTATGACATATCGTGCAATGAATTACGCGCGTAAACAACATGTAGCTACATGTATGATATTTATACAGTTTGTGTTGTTAATTAATTCGGTTATGGTGTATTTGAGCGGATTGGCGACCGGGCTGCGGTCGAGCCAACCACCTCGGGCTCCGTAGCAATCGAATCAGGGCTCCGGCAGCCGACATTATCTAGCTTGCTGGTTTAGATATAAAGCTACGGTTTCCACTGCGTAGAAACCAATTGAACGTGACTTATTGGCTTAATCATAGTCCATTTGCAATACTTATCAATGTTAATTAACACGGGAACATTGCATAATGTAATTTTGGCCGTTCCAGTAGTTTTTGAACAAAACATTTCGAAACTTTTGCCCAAATCAGTTTAAATGAGGCGTTTCGTTGCATATAAGCAATTTCCCGCCCCCAAAATAGTGAGTAAACAGTTGAACACGGACATCTCCAGCAAATTATTATTTGGCGATTAGTGCACGGACAATTAACATTCCGGTTGGAACGACGCGGCGGCCGGCGCGCGGCGGCAGTCGCTCCAGTGCGTCGTCCCAGCAATCTGCATAATGCGCGACACTCATTTACCGACCGTTTGTGAGCGACAAATGAAGCGAGCGCAACTGAAAATGTTTAAAACGCCCAGCACAACCAGAGCTACGTCTTTCAAAGTCGACAGAGCATCACCGATGTCAACCGCGACTGGTTATTTCTGCGCGGCCGAAACGCAAATATTCGCAAAACTGTGGCATGTCTAATAGCGCGTGAACCCAGTGATTGTTCGCTTGGGATGCCGTCCGTTTATTTATTTTACGTATCGATGCGTTCTTTGTGGGACGGTTATTCGAATTTCGTATAATGGAACTTTTGTAAATGAAAGCCTCGGTTATGTGAAAGGATAATTTTACAAACGACGTCATGAGCTTGTGTAATGAAATTACGAAACTGTGGATAAATATCGTTAACAGCGTTTATTTTTAACCAGCTATAATAGTGCTAAGTGGCTGTACATCGTTGGAGACACGTCTTCTATTCTGTATTGAATTAAAACATTACTAAATTCAATAGCATGTGACACAATTTCCATGTGTACCTGCAGTAATACTGTTAAAAGTTAAAACTATAGCTGGTTATGCAGTAAAACTAATATTTTATATCGTGTATAGAAAATACAATACTGAATGAAACATGTAGATTGTGGATAGGGTAAAAATACAAACGGGTTTATATTCAAACACACAACGAAACAAAATCTTTTGTCTTATCGAACATGAATATTTTATTACCTAAGTCTTACCTACATAGAAAAGTTTTATAGAAAGCAAAAGCTTAAACAAGAGTTTAAAAAAAACATCCTTGATACTTCGATTTGGTAATAGTGTAAATGATCGTGGTCGCACAGTGGTCCCGTGCCGCCGTACACAACAAAGAAGAGGAGACACCCGTCTCTTTGGATGTGTCGTAACAGGCGTGCACCGTGGAGGGTCCGGAACAGGTCTCTTTTAGAGGACCCGGTGCCTTCATACAGGTGTTGAGGGTGACCACCGGGGTGGTTTTAGTGAGGTAAAAACCCCACACTTCCTAGTATTTTATCCCCGTCATTAAAAACCCGATTAAACCTTTAATCATATTACCAACTACATCACATCACATAACATCTTAAAGAAAGAAATTAAGTAGATATTATCATTACCAGATACGTAAATTGCTGAACCACCCTCATTATCCCCAGTTAGCAGATTGATTGGAAAGTCCAGTAAGGTCACCGAATTTTGAGGTTGGGAAGGTGTGGGCAGAGGTGCACATTACGGCACTTAATGCCACTGTACAATGTAACACCATAACATAACATATGAGTCCCATGTAATACGGGGGTGAGCCTATTGCTATATATCGGACACATTTCCAGTCTCCATGCTAATACTGAGTTCTTCTTAAAAAACCCAGTAATACTTTGCCCGACCCGGGAATCGAACCCGTTACCCCTTGCCCGGCAGTCGCACTGGCGACCACTCGGCCAATGAGGCAGCATTTATAACCTTTCTCATTACGAATGAAGATATTATTATCTGTATTATCAACCACAAATAATATACAAACTAATAAACATATACCAGATATGATCGTTCGCACTAAGAGTTCTCACACCACAATATTACAATCTAAATATAATCCTATTACCGCCTATATAGGCACCTAAATCAATTGTAATAAACCCTTTGATACCCAAATTCGTTCGTTTTAGTTACAAATTATTAATAAATTGGTTTGCTTGACATATTACAGACTCTATTTGTTAGTTCTAAATCAATCGTAGTGGATCTAATTTGTAAGGTCGCCATGATACCATCAGACCAAATGGTCCATCAGGCCCTACAGGGCTGATGCCGATACGGAGCCGCGGAAGACTTAACGGGTTGCCAGGGCTTCGGCTCGAAGTGCAGGAGTAGGAACGGGGTGGGGTTTAGTCAATCAGTAAGTAAGAGACTGACACTCGCCCTGATCCGGGCGAGAGAAGTCGTTGAATGATTTTCAAACCTCTAAAAAAAAAAAGAAAAATCGCCATGATTGCCAGTCAAGCACTTGAGTCTAGGTGTTGAAGGATTCTTCGGTTTAACCCGTGGAACGTAGATCCACGCGAGACACGATATTTTCTATTGTATTTCATATACCGGCGCTCATTCTTGGGTTTACCCCCAAGCGGTCACCGGTGACCGCTCTCCATTAAGCACATTATAGACCTTTTGTCCGATGTTTAGAGACTAATTTTGTATGAACAAATTTAGGGGATGATATTTCAACAGGTTAAGCAAAATTTACTGAACGGATTTAGATGAAACTTGGTATAGGTACAGATGTTACTAACAAGATCAAGACATGCAATGGAATAACGCATGTCCCGGAAACGAGGATGAAGCATCTAGTAGTAGAATAAAATAAGGAGTTAAAACTCATACTCAAATATGTATCTACATAGAAATAAACAGTTATACATAATAACATATTACCTGTGTTAGCAAGAGAGAACACGCCAGATTAATTAATAGATGATTGCTTTAGTTATCTCCTGTATACGTGAGACATAACTTGTATGTGTGTGTGTGTATGTGTGTGTGTATGTGTGTGTATGTGTGTGTGTGTTACCCAATAAGTAATTGAATTTCCGTTTAACTTTTTAATGAAACTCCACCTAATTGTAATTTGATTAGAAATTTTCAAATTAATAAATGATTGAGTGTTGATTTAATTAATTTTGTGACGTTATTTTTATTATTATGTTTTATCCTTTTCTAAATATGTAATTACAAAACTGAAAACACACTTCCTCTACCTTGGAATTGAACCGGAAACCCTTTGATCACCAAACACTACGTAGGTGCTATTCTACTAAAAACCTCTAAGATCTACTAAGAGGTTTTTAGTAGTAGTTCCACTATGTATCCGTTTCAATCATAATAATATGAAATGGCGTAACAACGCTACAAAATCTTATACAAAGAAAAAATAAACTTTTTCTAAAGATTAGGGCAAAGATCTTGTAAATGTGGAAAAGAAATGAGGTCTCGGAATGAGATAGAACATGATTCTCTTAAAAATACAACTTCAAGTCTCCAGACTCGTATCTATTTAAATTGACTTATCTTGTTTCAGAATAAAAACAACAACAGAATTGGGTTTTCTTGTATATGTTAGGTAATAACAATACCAACATCTTACTAGATGATGATTTATTCGCATCTAGTAATGTGACTGCCTCGTTGGCCGAGTGATCCCAACTGCGACTCTCAGTTTCTATAATAGGTATTCTGTAACGATGGCCGAGTGGTTCCAAGTGCGACTACCGGGCAAGGGGTCTTGGGTTAGATTCCCAGTAATACTTGGGGGTTGGGTTTTAAAAAAACATTCAATAGTAGCACAGAGCCTCGAATTGTGCCTGATGTATGGCAATAGGCTCACCCCCACATTACATAAGACTCATAACATAAATAGTGAAAAGTGGGTGTTACATTGTACAGTGGCCTTAAGTGGCGTAATGTGCGCCTCTGCCTACCCCTTCGGGGATATTGTAATTATAATTAATGGCTTATATATAGTCATAACAGCCAAAAATATCTAAATCAGCAGCAATATTAATAATTCGTTTCGAAAGAATGGAATTCAGTTCAGACTTGTCATCAACTGCACTCTTGGAAAGCGTATCTACTAATGGTGGCGGAAAATGTACGAGTCAGTCATTTCACGTGACTAAATACAATGATGGAACACAAGTAACAATACTCTGCAGGGATGGCTCGGTGGCAGGGCAACTGGCTGTCGCGCAACATGTCGCGTATTCGATCCCGGAACTACTCTTTATGTGATCCACAGATTGTTCAGATTAGTGTCATGTGAATGTGAACTTGTATGTTTTTAAACGCATCCGGAAATAATCCTAGTGTGGGGCAGATTTTTAGAAGAACAAATTACCTACCTACCTAAGTCACAGATAACAATTAGGTACTTGCCAACTAGTCAAATTCAATACTTTTTTCGAACTGTCAAAAACGACAATTGTCTATGAATTTTTTGACGTCAAACAGCATACTTATTTCTGGAAAATTACTAAAATTAAGTTGGTCCTAAAATCAATGAATGAAAGTGTGATTATTTTTTAATATTGTATTGTATTGATCAGTCAAAAGAATTTATTTTTGACTAATGAAAGTATCCAATTAAAAAAACAACTCGAAATCAGAGTTCCACCGTAGCGTAGGTCCAATTTCCCCGTGACCTAATTCGTCGACTTAATATTCCGTCGCAGGCCGTTACGTCTTCATAAGTCGCGTTTTTAATCAACAAACCCTTGGAACTCGCTAATTTGGATAACGGATAGAAGGGTTGTTTTAGGGTACCGCACTAATGAATGTGAGAACCGTTCGTAATAGCGCGAATTAAGGATGGGTCACGAATCGGGTCTCGGTCTCAGCCCCGATACCGGTATCGGTTACTAGATCCGTCTAATTCGATCTTAGATACCAATTGTCTGGGTAATTTATTTGGCTTCATAATCTTAAGTCAATTATGTGTTTTGATTTAATATACCTAAGGAGAGTTTTAATTTCTTCTGGTTTTATTCCAATGCTATTTCCGCGCGATTTCATCCGTACTGCTCGGCGCCTATTGATCGTAACATGATGTTTAATAGCCTTCCTCTATTCATGAACTCTGCAAAACTAAAATATTATTTGAAATCAGACCAGCAGTCCCTGAGATCAGTGCGTACAAACAAACAAACAAAGTCTTCAGTTTTTATACTTAATAGTGAAGTACTCCAATATTTAGTGTAGATTTCTCATGTAGATATACATCTGTCCGTACCGTAATTATTCTACGATTCGAATTGTACTTTAAAATTGGTACAAAACTTTTATTTCATCACCCGAAACATTTAAGCGAATTTCAAAAATCATTAATATGCATACCAATATCCTGCTAACATCGAAAAAACTTTACTAACATCGAAACTAAACTCCACCTTATCCCATCACTACGGCACTCTAAAACTAGGGCATTAGCATTTTAAACGGCATGTGTTATTGCTCTCAAATTGTTGCGGATCTATTAGTGCGTTGGCCACGGATGCTCAGGATTAAGCTGTTTAGGTAATGGCTCGAAGGCCGCAAAATGAGCGCTTTAAAGCCTATTCCTCGCTACTTTTATTAAGTAATACAATGTTATGGGGTATTGTTTACCACTGGCCTTCTACGATCTAAGATCGGGCTGTGTGCCAGTGGAAGGAGGAAACTTTTTAATGGTCTAACCTAAAAATAAATATCTAGCAAAAATTTAAGGTGATTTTGAAAACACAACCAACAGTTTTCTAGTAAAAAAACGATCTATTAATCGCTAACAAAGTCTAGTGATAAATAAGCCCACTAGCAATTTGCACTACAACATAATTAAAAGCTACAACAGGCTACGGGCCCGCCATTCCGCGCGGGCGCACACTTCGCCGCAATTTTTCCATCAACGGGTGGGCACCACAATTATGCGATTTGCATACCTATCGCAGCCGCCACTCGACGCGACGCGTTTTTGTGCGCCAACCCGCTACGCCCTTTCTGTGTACACCGACTGAAATAATTTGTAACTACATGAAGGGAAGGGCACTATACAAACAGAGGCTTTCCCCGTGTCTCGAACGAAACAAAATTTACAGGCCTTTCTATTAAAGCTCAGCCTATAAACATTTTTGCTCTATTCCATTAGAAAAAACAGTGAAAAATATTTGTTGAATAGAAATGAAAGCAAAGCGCCGAGGAAGCCAATTAGATGCCTATTTGTCGCGCACAACTTGTAAAAGTCAATTCAGGAAAGCAGGTCAAGATTGAGAATAAGCTGTTAAGATTAAGAAACTCTTTTACTTTATCCCTAACCTAACGTTGACTAACATTGTTCTAAAAGTAACAATTGTGAAGTAAACAGTGGGTATAGGTACCACAATTTGTTCATTAATTCATTAAGTATACGAAGCTATCCACAAAAAAATCAAATTTCCGGTGAACATAGTGCAAAACGGTTCAAAACACAACATCGAAGCACGGGTTTATTGGATTTTAGCGGAAATTTCACTCGCACACGGGATGAAACGAGCAAAACAGCCAACACTGTTTGCGAATCACCTCCGCATATCGAATTTTGATTCCTGATTTGTATCGGAACAACCACCGACCCTATAAATAGGACGGCACGCAGGATGCGCAAATGGAATGCAAAACGCAGCGAAACCCTTGTTGCACGGATACAACTACGTTTTGATACCAGAAACAAAAATCGGTTCTGTTTTTAGTGCGCACTACAATCACTGAAATTGTTTTACTTTTGTACAAATGTAAACACACGATATTGCATGTAACCTGGCCTCGTATAAAGTTTCGCTAAAAAGTTAGTCTTAGAAGCAAAGTCCGCTCGGCTAGGCCCCTCATTGCAATAACCGATCCTCGCAGGAGCTAGGCAAACACACAAAACTTGCCCGATGCTATCTTGGATGTCCAATTGAGTTTCGTCCTGCGCCGCTCCTCCATAGAATGCTAATAAACCCACTTAGCCGACAAACTACTGGTAGCTTTGTCTTTAAAAGTAAGGAGATTGTCGGCGTTGCATCTATCAGCAATCTCGTTGTAACAAAATTAAACTCGACTTTGTAATTCTAAAGTCGAATCTCGACTACACTCGGATCTACTTGCTAATTGTTGGAGGGAGGAAACGTAATAAAAGTGCTAGTCTTTGAAGCAAAGAGGCTGGCCTCGAGCGCCTCCGAGGAGCGCATTTTAATAAATTAAAACTGCGCAAAATTCCCATTCCAATATCATTTTATTTTCCTTTTTGCTCCGAGTCCGGCGCTCGCTCGCCTTACATTGATTCTATTTTGCTGAAAGACTATCAATCTACCTACCTTCAGCTACGTTTTAAAAACATTCCATATATTTTCAAAGGAACCTGCTCACATACATAGGTCTATAATTGAAATTATTGACTTACATTTTAGTGGACAAACGGCCGACCAAACGTTTGCGATTCAGTTCACGCTAAACGAAATATTGCTGCAGAAAATGAGACAGCTTTTCGTTGTATATACGTTTAAACTGCATAACGACACGATATCAATCTAGTTTTAACATAATTATGCAAATAGAATGCTTAGATTTTGTTAAAAGCCGCTAACGTATACTTAATTATATAATTGCCGTTTGATTTGATGTTAATTGATTAATCAGTCAACTACCTACTTATTATTATAGCCGTGTGAGAAATCTATCGATAGTATTATTTCTTAATAGCAATACTGTTTATATTATCTAACGTCTTGTTTTTCTAATTCCAGGTGCTGTTAATTTCGCTGGAACTACTGGCATCACGGAGTGGAGCTGCTGCACTGGCCAACTGCCCAGGAGGCTGCAACTGCAACGACGAAACCCTCGTCGTGGTGTGCGAAGAAAGCCGCCTCGACGTCCTCCCTATCGCGCTGAACCCTTCAATACAACGGTTGATCATCCGCAATAATAAGATTAAGACTATCGACAGTTCGATGCAGTTCTATGCAGATCTACAACATCTAGATCTCTCACAAAATCACTTAGTTAACATTCCAACGAAAAGTTTCGCATATCAACGCAAACTACAAGAGCTGCATCTGAATCATAACAAGCTATCTTCAGTAACAAACACAACTTTCCAAGGACTTAATCAACTAACCGTTTTGAATTTGAAACGTAACTTCTTGGAGGAGTTAACAAACGGAGTGTTCACTACTCTGCCACGATTAGAAGAACTTAACTTAGGTCAAAACAGAATATCGAGGATTGAGCCCAGAGCCTTCGCTGGATTATCGGCTCTACGGATCTTGTATTTAGACGACAATCAGCTGAGCTCAGTGCCAACCACATCGTTCAGCCTGTTGGGCAGTCTGGCAGAGCTACATGTGGGATTGAACGCATTTTCATTCCTGCCTGATGATGCCTTTGCAGGCCTTAATAGACTGACTGTGTTAGATCTAAATGGAGCTGGTCTCTCCAACATTAGTGAATATGCGTTTAGAGGTCTTCCAGGACTAAGAAGTCTCAACCTTTTTGGAAATAGACTCATTACAGTCCCTACACTTCAACTGTCTGGCCTGACAAGATTAGAGGATTTGTATATCGGACAAAATGAATTCATCTCTCTGGAAAGCCATTCATTCAAAGGCTTGAAAAATCTGAAATTACTAGACATCACAGGCGCCACTCAGTTGGAAAGAATTGAAAAAGGAGCGTTCGAAGATAACATCAATTTGGAAACAATTGTTCTTGCAAACAATAAAAAGTTGGCAACCATTGAAGATTGCACACTATTGGGCTTACCAAAATTGAAACATGTTTCTCTGAGAGATAACGCTATTGTTACATTAAGCGAAACAGTGTTTATTGGAAAAGAGTTGAAGCAATTAGATTTAACTGACAACCCTATCTTCTGCGATTGTCAACTGTTGTGGCTACAACAATTATTGTATGATAAGAGCAATTTCACACAATTACACTGTGCCAGCCCTGAACATCTGAAGGATAAACCTCTAAGGAACTTAAATGCTGATGATTTGGGCTGTGTCCTTCATGACACACGACAGCAAACAATCATCTGCATCGTTGTAGTTGCCTGCGTAGCTACTATTGCGACATTAGTGTTAATATTGTATAGATATCGCAAGAGCATGCAGGAGAAACTCAAAGACTACAAATGGAACAAGGGGCGTAAAAACCTCGAGTACCATAAGCCCATTTCCACTGAGGAAGACTGCATAGTGCGTGGTATCCACCCATCGCAGTACCCCGCACCCCCACACACTCCCGGCCTCAGGCCTATTCCGGTAACGGAACTGTAGCTAGAGCTTTACGCCTCTCCGAGCGTTTTCTTCATGTCAGGCGGCCAGGGCTCCGCCCGGAGGCCGCAACGCTCGGGGGGCGGCGGCACGCTGCCCGCCAACGGTTTCACGTACATTGGCGGTGACACGCGCCCGCATCAGCCACTTACGCTAAATAATGGCGCACCGGCTCATCATCTCAACAATGGCTCTTTGCGCTCATTACCCGATAAAAAGAAAAACCGCAACGGCGTCGTCTGCCACCCAGAGAACTTCCAGCGCAATCTCGACACGCGCTATTCGAGGAAGCAGGAGAACGGCTACATGCGCAACTCTGAAACCATTATTGGTTTCCCGCGCAACGAGCGCGAGTACGAGCGCGAGCACAGCGAGTACAGCGAGCCCGAGTACTCCATCATCCCGGAGAACGGGTACGGCCGGCCGCTGGACGAGTACCCTCGCGCCTGCTCGCACTCCAACACCTTCAACTGCTGAGTGCAGCGCACCTGAACTATCTCAATCGTTTGTGATCTTGTAATTCTAGCAATAAATCTTCATTCCATTAAGTTTTCTATGGACGGAGTCAGTCGTGACGGACGTAGTGCTCTAGAGCGGTTAGTGACATTAGAAATTCGGGTCCGGTGTACGTTCGACCAGTGAGGACTATCCTGTATCGTATTCGTTTTAAAGAGTACCTTATTTGTAAATTATAAATTTAAGTAGTGATGGATCTATTTTTCAATGGAAGGTCGGGGCTCGGAGCGTGTGTAAGTGAGACTTCCACACGAGACAACGGTACAATGTACGGACTAGTCGCAGCAGAGGTGTGGGGGGGCGCCCTCCATGGTGTACATCATAAAACATTGTGATTTGTAATATTTTCTACCAGTGCGGTGGATTTTGTATTTGATTTTGTACAAAAAACCATTCCATATGATATCTTTTTAATGTCTAATATTTTATTTATAAATGAATAAAGTAAGTGTGCGTTAAATAAGACACCAATATGAAAAATATTAGGATTAAAGAATGTAAATATATTTATACTATATTGAGATATTTATAAAATTTAATACATCTTGTTCTTCTAAAATTATCATAAAATTATTTCGGGATATTGTATTATTTGCTATAATGACTGATATCCTAATTACGAGATTTCTTATGTCTGTCACTACCTACCTATACTTAGATACCTACTTACACTACATTTCTAGTCGTGTAAGGACGAACGCACCCATTATTTCTAATATGAACACTTCGATCACTTTTATGCTCAATCCTAATATTGTATGTAATAATTTATTAAGATTGAAGTAAACGAAGAAACGATGTCTTATTGCTGTCATTGTTAATTAATTCATTATTTTGTTACCTATTTTCTTTAAGTCCATGCTATGAATGTCGAGTGATCTATTTAGAAATGTGTTACTAAATGCTTAAGCATTTACTGATAGCTTCTCAATTACTGCTACGATGCATACCAATTAAGTTAGCCAGTATTAATTAGTTTAATTGCAATCATGTTTAAGCATTGCCTCATTATCTCGATTCGAATTCTGCGATTCAGGAAAAATGTTGAATATCGAAATGAGGACACGGATAGCGGAAGCTTAGTAGTTGAACTAGACTTTTTACTTACGACTTAAATGTTTTGCAATATTTACGTTTCTAAATAGATCACAAACATTTACAATAACGTGCCTGTGACGAATTCTCGTCCATGTTACAATAATTAAATGTCTTTGTATGTAAAACTTATTCTTTTCTTCATTTCACTCAAATGTTCTTGCCATATTCCAATAAGACATAATGGTAATATAGAATAGGTATTCGATAATCCCTTTTATTTTGTAGAGAATATTTTAATATCTGTATTAAACGTAGATTAAATAAAACGAAAGCGCGCCAAATACATAGCAGCTGTCAAAGTCATGTCAATGTGACGTTTAAAGTTTAAAATAAGAACGCAAGCTTTTTTAATTAAACAAAAAAAGTTAATTAAATCGCTAGATACCTTCGTAGAGCCATTGCGGTGTCTTCTTGGATTATGGCTGTTTTATACTCCAGTTTTTATATTCCCAAAACGATACATACATACTTACCTGAATTTTGGTGTTATTGAGTTATTGTAAATAATTATGGAGAAATTAAAGACTAAGCAATTTAGGCATGTGTTAGTGCCTAGTGAATGCCTAAAAATGTATACAAGAAAAATGATGAATACATATGAAAACATTGTGATTAGAGTACTCACGACATTGTAATAGAAATCATCAGTCATTTCTGTACTTTATTGTAGTTATTACCTACATACAAACTCGATAAATATAACATACCTCAAATTTAATTGTGTTTTATTTTTAGACAACCCTTGTATTAGCCAGAAATTGATAATAATAATAATAAATATCATCATGCTTTTTAACCTTGAAGGGTTAGGCAGAAGAGCACGGAACGGCTCTTGATGCCACTGTACAATGTAACACCGACTATTTGTGTTGTAAATCGCATGTAATAGGGGTGAGCCTATACCATACCGGCAACAATTCTAGACTCCGTGCTACTACTTAGAATTTATAAGAAAGTCAGTTATACTTTACCCGTCCCGGGATCGAACCCGAGACTCATTGCCCGGCAGTCGCACTTGCAATCACTCGGCGAACGAGGAGGTCAAAAATAGATGCACTTGTAAAATCTCAAAATCCTCACTAAAAATTTCCACACACGGTACACCCTTTAAAAAATAGTAAAAATATATTTGCTATAATGCACGCAGCCGGTGGCACTAGTTGGCCGCGCTTCAGATAAGTATGTACCGCAACCAAAAGCGCGGTCGAGGTCTACTAGTTCCGCGTGCACTATAGTTGCTGGATAGGGTTTTTTTTTTGAGAGCCCCGGTTACCCGTTAGGTTCTCCGCGACTGCTGGATAGGGTAGGATTGGCCTAACCTGGGTTCGACTCCTGGGCCCATTTTATCCATTTTGTCTATAGTTTTGACTACTCTATTTAGCTAGTATACAGCTGGCATACTTACCTGCATAATATGATCACACAAGACTTTTCCCGATGAGGGTAGGAATGAACTACAGAGCGCCACCTAGTAGAAACCATACGTACTTCTAGTTTCCTCTACATTCAGAATGCTTTCAGTAAAGTAGATACCTACGTAAGTTCTTCTCACTTTTTTTTAAATGTCAGCAATTCAGCATGGCGTAGCTCTTTTCGAAATACGATGGTAGGTATACCTACCATCTACTCATGCTATAGTAATAGTAGGTATGTTCTCGAATATTTTACTGACTTAAAAGGTAGTTTTCAATTTGACCGTATGTATGTTTGTGCGCGATTAACTCGCAATTGTCTGAACAATTTTCAGAAAAGTGTTCGTTATAGTTATAAGATTTTATTGCATACCTACCTATATTAATCAAAGAGGTTGAATTCGGTTTTTTAACCTTTTAACCAGAATTTTTATGAAAGTACAGTTATTAGCCAGAAATGCTATTTGAGTATTATAGATTTACAAAACAATTATCATTATAATTATGTAGCACGGAATCGTTCTAATGTGATTAATGCTCAAACTTTCTTCGTGAGAAGTGGCCTTTAGTCAGCAGTGACCTCTTATTATAGGATTTTGGACGTTAGTGTTGATTTGCACTACTACTGCCTCCAGAAATAAAAGGAGTGATGTCGGAGACCAATAATTTATTCCTCTGCCTGATACCTACATAGCTCTTTTCTTAGTCTAATCGTTATTCCCATGGTCTGAAAACATATCTTCAGTTGTGCAATAATTAAAACTAGCTAGACTGAAATACTTTTTTTGCTCACCAAACATCAGGACATTAACTGTACAGAATCAATATTTACTAGTGTAGATGACCTCTTGTAAATTTCGGACCATGAGTCATTGAACTTGAGACAACCTTACAATCCTCAATGTGACTCATAGGACATTGACCTCAATTTACACAGTAAAACCTAATTCTAACAAACATGATACTCGCAATGAAACAAAAGTCCGACAAATTGTTAATTAATTTATTTATACTTTTATAGTATGCAACATTTTATTCATTAACATTACAAAATTGTTCAGCCTTGTGATGGGAGAAGCCGGATCCAGCCGATGCGCAGATTGACATGATTTTGTAAATAAATAAAAAAGATATGAGTTTAGGCGCCTGTGTTAGAATTGGAATATTTATTATGAGTAATTCACTTATGCTGTACAATTAGAACTTCTCCTCCTCAAGACCGTGTTTGAAGAACATCATGACGGGGATCTGTGTGCCATCTACATCTCTGTACTCCATCATAGCGACCATGCCATCACAGTCCATGGACTCTCCAGTGAAGAACTGGAGCTCCTTAAACCTGCCAAGGATGTCCTTCATGACTTTGTTCATGTTGGTCTTGAAAACGTCAACCTGGTCAGGTGCCTTCTCTTCTAATTTTGCAACTAATCTGAAATTAGAGAATAATTTGTTTTAGTAATTTGAATATTAAAACATCATATATCACTCATCATTCACAGTGATATATTAGAACACAAAAACAGAGTCAGGATTATGGCCATGTGGCTTTTACAAATGAATAAATATAATTCAATGAAAAGAAAAACTGTTTATTACGCCACGACACACACGCAGACGACAATACAAGACCACACAAAAAGAAGTGCAGTGCATCGTAGCGCAATAAGCCTGTATAAAAAATAGTTTAACTCGTCGAGTACCGTCATTATAGACACAATTATAGAACAATAGGTTGCGGTCACCGGTGACCGCTTGGTGTTTGACAGTTTAAATGTCAGCTCCATTTCATGAACAAACATTACAGAATGAATGTTTTTTCACTAGAGTTCATTGTTCTTGCATCGATCGCTCCACAGGAAGACATTGAGAGTCAACCGATGGTATTAGGTGATGCATAAACCCAATAACAAAGAAACAGACTAGAGACAAGGTAATTTGTGGTCTTATCTTAATGATGTGTCATTTATTAAGTGTAAAATCTATGAATACTTATGTATTCAATACATATAAACACTACATAACGGAAAACAACAATCAAGAACATTGTTCAATGTTTTGTGGAAACTAGAAAATGTTTATAAATAAAATCTAGGTTTTATGGCATGTTTCATTTTCCACTACCAATGTTATAAATATACACAATTATTTCAATGCAGAATAATGTCTGCATGATGAAACTATGTTTATAGTATGTGAAAAATAGCACTTCTTAAAACTATTCTATATCAAAACAGCTGAAATAATCTTGAACTTAACCTACACTGATATGCTGTTATCATAACTAGACATTTCAAAATAAAGATAAGAAGTTGATTACATAAATATTGATCATGCCATTCACATGCCCACCATGTGCTGTGCTCAGTACACAATGGTGACAAAAAATGGAGACCCCTGAATGTGCAATATGGCCGACTCTAACAATAAAATAGCATGGATGAACCATCTAAAAGTGGATCTGAAAATTGGACAATTTAGTAACCAAATTTTATATCCATTATTAATACCAATGGCTCATGCAAAAGAAAGCAACTTTGTCAAGAGCAAAAATAACACATGGCATGACTAATGCACTAATATGCACAAGTATCATGGCCAATGACATTAATATAGTGCAGTATGCACATGCATAGCTCAATGATGATTGGCTGGGAATTAACACATTGTTGGATCTCCCAATCATGTAGTTTAAATTTAAATAAAGAGATTGGCAATCCATGACACATCTATGTTGATTTTAAATGACACAGCATGATTTACAAGGCAGCTGGAACTGGCCTGTGTGCACTCACAACTTACACCTTGTCTTCAAGCCTGTCGCACTTTTTACGTTTACACTATTGATAGTTTTATCACCAAGCATTTAGCACTGTTACACTCACTTTTTCATGTAGTCTTTGAGGTATAATGTGTAGGACTTCTTGTCGCCAAAAGCGTATGTTTCGACAAGCCTGTGGTTCAGGACAATGTCAACACCACTTTCGACAGCAGCATCTGTGCCTTCGTCAGCCTCTTCAGCCGAGGGGTTGAAACCTTCGATTTTAATATCGCCCTGTGCTCTCGTCACCAGTTTGCCGGTCACTTCGTAAATTACTTCATCGACCAGCTTCATTTTGTATGTGTCCGAGAACATCTCATCACCTGAAAGAAATCCATGATAAGTTTAGTTTCACTTTCACATCTTGATTATATTAAAACTGTAGATGTGGCAGAATTTAGGAAAGACTGCAGATGAGACATCATCATATCACTTCTTGACTAAATGTCAAATTCACTGTTATCAAATTTATACATTATAAATGAAATATAGACACAAACTTCACAAGAAACACACAATAAACTCAATTACCAGTAATAATATCTTTATAGATCCTCATTTTGATGGATTAGAGGCGATTAAAAATAATAAAAACCGAAACAACGGCTTCTTGCCCCAAGAACTAAACCGGAAAGGGCTATGAAACGAAAAGAAGGAAGTAGGTAATGTTGCCAATTTATAACCGTAGAAAGTTGCCATATGTTATTTTTATAAAATAATTCTATCAATGCAAACAAATGCAAAATGCAAATTATAAAACTGAATGATTGAATTTTTATGTACCTTTTTCATTTTATTCTTAAATAATATAAAAACATTTGTATCAGATATTTTTGGTAAATCATAAATATTTTCAAAAGAAGTTATGGAAAAGTTCTCTCAAAAAGTTGTGGAAGCGAGAAACTAAACGCGAAATGTCAAATACCATTTCTGAAGAATCCGCAGGAAACAGGTGGCGCCTTTAGTTCATGAAAAGATGGAAGTATTTCTCTACAATTCCAATGTTTGTCGATTATGTGGAGAAGAAAATGATAATGGGACGCTATTATATTCCAATGAAGAAAATAATCAAAACTTATTTAAAGTCATTAATACGTATTTGCCAATCAAGGTATACCACTTTTACTTATTGTGATTTGTATTGACTTCAATCGATGTGAAAATAAAATGGCTGCCTTTCTGCAGAAATTTAACATTTTCTGACTTATTATTGTATTTCATTGAATTAATGAACCATAATACGAGCTACTATAGTGTTAAATCTTATAATTCAATTATTTAGATAATCAGTTTGATAAGTTTGGTTATAAGTGTAAAAAATTGTTACCATATCGTCAAATGTCCTGCAAAAGTATAGGATATCGCGCCAAGTTTGTTTTTTTGTGATAAACAAAACAAAATCTTAAAAATAAATTAATGTTAATTCAAACCGAAAAAATGCTGGTTGCAGGTATCTGATGATGGGCAACTACCACGTACTATATGTCCAGGATGCACCATACAGCTAGAGGCCACTGTAGAGTTCCTAAATCTTATTATAAATGGACAAGTAAGTTTAATTTAAATATTAAATTAAATATAATCACAATCCAATAAGACAATTCATATAATTAAATTCAACAAAAATGTATAATGATGAGGAATATTAAATGGCAAGTTTATATATGAATTACTTAATGTTTACAGAAAGTTATTAGAGAGCTCCACAGTAGAGAGAAAGAATACAAAAGAAGTTTATTACTTCCTCCAAATGAACAGGATATTATAACAGATAAGATTATTTATGAAGGTGAGTGTTGACAAAATTAACTACATAAAGATACAAGTAAAGTCTCAATGAAATAAAGTCTTTGCAGTGTTCTTTTATTGTCAATATTGTACATCTTAGGACTAAAACTGATTTTGGTAACACAAACAAACATTGATATTAAATCATTGTTATTCACCTTAACTGGTATGACATTGTTTGACCCGTTGATATCCATCCCCTAAATTTGGTCATACAAAAGTATTCTCTAAACATTAGAAATAAGGTCTATAATGTAGTGTAATATTAGTGGAAAGCGGTCACCGGTGACCGTATGGGAATTTATGGGTTAATGATTTGCCTCAACAATTTCACTCGGTGTACAAACAATATACATAAATTAATGTACCTACAAGTTCTTTTATTTCATCTACATAAACAATTCCCTACCACTTGCAGTAAATACCAGTGATGGTGTGTATCACGTAGAACACCCAATAGCCTTACAAGTCGCTGGACTTGATAAACCTAAACGAAAACGAGGTAGACCTCCAAAAAGGCCTAAAACCGCTGAAGAATTAGCAAGAGAAGCAGCTGCAAAGGAACATGAGGCTAAAAATGCAAAGAGAACTGAGAAAGAAGATGAACCATTTGGTAAAAGACGAAGGAAAACTCCTACAAGGTTCAAGGAGGCTGTTCAGGTGAGTGAAGATTCAGAAGTTATGAACGATTTTAATAAAATATTTCAGCCAATACATATCAATACATTTTAGTGTTACGGTGTAAGTTCTGGATTTGATTAGATTTCAAATGAAAATATTTTTGCAAGACAATGTCATTCATTGAGTCATTCTTTTCTTAAATTTTTAATTCTTTTAACATGACAATAACATAACTCGGTTTCAATTTTGTCTCAAATTGGTTTTCTAGGGTAAAGAACTGGAGAGGATTTTCAAAGAAGAAGGAGTCACTGATGGGGAGGAAAGTGAAATGGAGAACCTCAAGGCCCAGCTTATAGATAAGAAGCCGCCAGGACCAAGGGAATCAGAAGTCATTGGTCATTTGGAGGAATCCGGAGAGCTTGTTGTAGTAGTCAAAGGCAAGGGACGTGGAAGACCTAAAGGTTAGTAAAACATGGTAGATATCTCTAATTTATTTGCTTTCACTATTTTAGATTACAAATTCTTTTCTCAAAAATGTTTGTACACCATCCGCACCCTTGTAGCATTTTTAAACTTGCATTTAAAAAAGTCCATTTTTTTCATTTTTGCCTTCGTCACCCTACAATCTTTTATGACTTAAAAACAGTAATATCTGCCAGAAAAAAGCAACACTGAAATACCTAAATTAAGCACAATAACATAACATTATTTTTAACGATTAAATGAATTTTAAAATCTTCCAGGACCAATGATCCCAACACGAAAAGAATGCGCCATTTGTGGTATGGAGTTCACATGTACTGGTCGGTACATGTCTCACATAGCCCAGCACGGACCAGTCCTGTACCAATGCGAGCAGTGTTCTGAGACATTCACCACAAGGCTACATTTCAACATCCATCAGGATGAAGTCGGACACACCGGCCATAATATTATACCTTGTAAGAAAAACCCAGAAAGAAGTAGGAATAAGGTAAGACAATTATTGCAATTTGTTTAATGTAAGTTCCGTACCCTAAATGTCTCTAAATGATCACTTTTTAACCAACTTAAAAAAAATAAGAAAGTTCTCTGTGCGCGATTAACTCGCGATTGGCGGTTTTCAGAAAAGTGTTTGTGACACTTATGCCTGAATACTGAAACGTTACACAATTTTAAGTCGCGCTTAAGTATAGTTCTGCCACCACTAATTCTTTGTGAAATGAAACGATGGCAGAAGAGATGGCACGATATTTAAGCTCGACTTAAAATTGAGTAACGTTTCAGTATTTCGGCATTAGGAAACGGTTTTAGTATATTAATTAACTGACTTTTAAAACCAAGGGTTTGAAGTCGGTTTTTAGAAACATAGTAGTTTATAAAAAAATATTTGGCAAAATTACACACTAAATTAACTTTCACATCACACAGCTTAAATACAAAAATTGCTCTGATTACAGATTTTATTAATCAACAATTATTATTTATTCCGGTGTCCTTATTTCCAATAGCAATGTGTTACATTGATGAGATTTATGTACCTGTTACAATTTTGACTAATACATGTTTATCCTATTTCAGAAGAATGTAAAAGCTCAATTGGAAACAGTGTCAATAGAAGTGGATCCCCTTTCAATTCCTAATACAACGCCAGTACAAACGATAGATAATATGATAATACCAGTAGCTAATTCCTTGCCGGATCTAAATCCGCAGCTTATTGTAGCAGACAATGAAGTTAGTGCCAGTGACTCCCAGAGGACTGAAAGCCCTAACATTGAAATAGTATCTAGTCCTATTGCTAATAGTGATGTAAAAGTAGTTGGTGAGTATCTGTTTTCTGTATCATTACACATTATTTTTTTTAAATTACCTACTTTTACTTTAATACATTATGACTAGACTACTGAATTTTATGCAATCAAAAATTTACTTTTTTAGAGATTACCATACACTATAGAATTGTTACTTTGTTGTTACTTTGTTACTGAAATAATATATAAAACCCTTTTTCCAGATTCAGGTACAGATGTAACTGTGACAGAAAAGTCTGATGAAGTAGACCAAGTAGTAACAACTCCTTCCGGTAAACCAAGACTGAAGTGTCCGCATTGTGATAAAACATTTAGTAGTAAACAAAGCAAGTCTTTACATATTAAGGTAATATATTTTTTGATAACAGTATTGTTATATTTCATTCGATTCTTCACTGAAACTGTTCCAGTAATCCTCTAAACTTCAAAAGACAATGTATCTAATTTTTATAAGATTTGAAACAGTTATTATAGCTGTAACTTTTGGTGGTACGGATGTTCTTGGGCGGTGTGTCATTTACCATGAGGCGATACCTGTTTGCTCCCCCAGACTTTCAGAGATTTTTTTTTATTTGATATCAGTGATCGTATTTCTTATATGATTAACCTACCTACCCGCCCGCCCCTGCAGGCGACCCACAAGGGCGAGCGTCCGTACGTGTGTGGCGAGTGCGGCGCGCGGTTTGCGTACCCGCGCTCGCTGGCGCTGCACGCCGTCAGCCACCGCAGGCACAGGGCCACTCCTGCTAAGGGATACGCCTGCGACCTCTGCGGGAAGGTAAGTTTTCAACGTTTAAAAATGCCTTCTTAGTCTAAAGTAACAAACAGTCATATTGAACACGTTTTGTGGTCTTAATCGTTCAGTTAATCTCCCCAATCCCTGAATCCCCAACGATCCTCAAACTCTCTAATCCCCAAAAGGCCGGTAACGCACTTGTAACGCCTCTGGTGTTCCGGGTGTCCATGGGCGACGCCGATTGCTTACCATCAGGTAATCAGTCTGCTTGTTTACCGGTTTATATCACAAAAAAAAAAGATATAGGCATGCAAACTAAGTGCTAAGCTGTATAAAAGCTTGTTTTGAAAACGGTCTAAATATTGAATGAACAGTTTTTCTCGTTGTAGGTGCTGAACCACCCGTCGTCCGTGGTGTACCACAAGGAGGCGGAGCACGCGGGGCAGCGCTACGTCTGCAACAAGTGCGGCAAGTGCTTCAAACACAAACAACTGCTGCAGCGGCACCAGCTCGTGCACTCGCAGGACCGGCCCTACCACTGCAAGGTTACATACTCTTACATTCTGTACTCACTGGCTGAACCGTCTATACCATAAAATACTATATAATATGCTAAATATACTAATAAGTCAGCTATGGAGACGTTCACTATTGAACATAGGCTCTATTCAATAAAATATGATTATATATTATGTAACTGCCTCGTTGGCCGAGTGGTCGCAAGTGCGAATGCCGGGCAAGGGATCTCGGATTCGATTCCCGGGTCAGGCAAAGTATTACTGGGTTTAAAAAAATCTCAGTAGTAGCAAGGAGCCTGAAATTGTGCCTATAGACTGATAGAGTTGTATATGGCAATAGGCTCACTCCCTATTACATTGGACTCATAACATAAATAGTGAAAAGTGGGTGTTACATTGTACAGTGACATAAAGTGCCGTAATGTGCACCTCTACCTACCCCTTCGGGGGTAAAAGGCGTGACGTTATATTATGTTAAATGTTATTTTATGTAATTTTTTCCAGTTATGCAACTCAACATTCAAGACTAAGGCGAACTTACTGAACCACTCCCTTCTACACAGTGGCGTCAAGAAGTTCTCCTGCGAAATATGCAAGCACAAGTTTGCACATAAGGCTAGCCTCACGCTGCATATGAGGTGGCATACTGGTAAGAGGATTGCTGTTACTATTAAGTGTAAGCAGGACATGTCGATGAGTTGTCCTTAACTCGTCGAGTACCGGTTTTGTAGACACAATTATAGAACAATAGGTTGCGGTCACCGGTGACCGCTTGGTGTTTGACAGTTTAAGGTTATTTTCTTTTTTGATCACTTTGACTGGATTTAAGTGTTACATTGTTCTCGCACAATCCAAACAGCAAAACTATGTAACTAGTAAATTGTATTGTGAACCTGATTGAAAAAAAGTTACCTATGGAGTTTCTTGCTCGTTCTTCTCCATAGGAATCTACACATTGGAATGAGCAAATAGCCTCACTTTTAATTTTTTTTGTTGACGTTCAAAAGTGCCATTTGGCCTAATTGAAATAAATGATTTTGACTTTGACTTTGAGTTTTTGTTCTCTTAAAATGTAAAACCAATATGTTTAATATGTTATTCATGTACACTTTCTTTGTCCATTATTATTTATAATACAAGGTGAAATTAGGAGCAGTGAATTGATGTTGAACAGATAGTCACATTGCAGGTCAGAAGCCGTTCGCGTGTAACATCTGCGGCAAGAGTTTCAGTCAGAAGGGCAACCTGTCGGAACATGAACGTATCCACACTGGAGAGAAACCGTTCCAGTGCACGCAGTGTCCACGCAAGTTTACCACGTCCAGTCAGTACCGACTGCATGTACGGAGGCATAACTCTGAGAAGCCATTCGTTTGCACACATTGCGGTAAAAGGTGAGTAACTGCGGGATATTTTTTTTTTATATTTAATAGGATAGCATTTGGCCATCATCTTGCTTGTTTCAAATAGTTCGGTGATGAAATGGCTAATCTTGCATTGATAGGAACTCCTATCAATGCAAGATTAGATTGACAACTGTCAAGGAGCACCACTTTACCACTGCAAAAGAGGTTGGTGTGTGGTAGAATGATAAAAATGACAATACGATATTTGCAAGATTGGTTGGTTCTGGAGAGGTAAGGGTTGAACTCAGTGCCGTAGTATTGGAAAGTTCTTATCTCACAGTGGACGAAAATGGGGTCTTCTATATTTTTACTCAACAGTTTTAACATATTTGACTTATTGCTTGATATTTGATTGGACGAAAAAACCCCTTCTTATATTTGAGCCACCTACCGAGTAAAAAACGGTAGTCCTAAAGGGCTAACGGTTTTTTTATCAATTGATAATGATGTAAATTTTCTGAAATTTAATGATGTCAATTTTAGATTTGTATCGCGCGGTTCCTGGGCGGCGCACGTGCGGCGCGAGGCGGGCGGCGCGGGCGCGCGGCTCCACCGCTGCGGGGAGTGCGGCCGCTCGTTCGCCGAGCGCTGGGCGCTGCACAAGCACGCGCGGCACCACACGGGCGAGCGCCCGCACCGCTGTCCGCACTGTCCGCGCGCCTTCGCCGACTGCTCCAACCTCAACAAGCACAAGAAGGTAACGCCACCGCACATCCTCATTTTCTCATTCTTACTGACTGTTCTACGAGAACGTTTACAGCGCAACGCAGTACACAAAAAATTAAATAAAAATCGCGGGTTACTCACGTGAATATACTGAGAAAAGCTCTACTAGTTTCGTCGTGAGTAATTTTCAGTTAATTTAGTATGTCTCACGACAGTTATTATAAGATCGCAATACACACCATTAGAATGTCTTCATTGGCAATATATGTGTAAAAAGCTTTCTCAAAATGTTGTACCTTGGTGGTGCAGATCATAAAGTAAAATACTATCTTGAGTATGTTCAAAATTATGACACTTATTTACAAACCTTTCTATCTTTCAGCAAGTGCACAAGCAGATCAGTCTACTGGCGACCGCGAACCAACACCAGCTTCCTTCCCCTGTAACTCTGAAGGTGGAGTTACCAGACTCTCCGCCAATGCAACTAGAGACTGAACACACTGTGCCACTCCCTGGCGCTGCCCCCGTCAAAATGTTAGAAGAAACCGCAGAGGACGAGCTGGAGGAACGAGTTATTTATGTTACGTACGACGTCGAGGGCGGTAACTCACCCGCGTTCCATATACTCGACCCAGAACAAGTAAGTACTTTTTTTATTAAATTATAAGTGGTTTTTCACAATTCATTAGGGCGCAATTATTTCTACATTCACTACTTGTCATCTACTATTGTAATTGTCTGATTTTTCTTTATGTTTTTTAATTGAATTTTAATTGTAATTTTTTTTACTGTGATGTTTATTTATGTGTTTAATTTATTTTTTCTTCTTTTCTGTTATTGTAACTGTTTGATTTCTCTTTGTATGTGTGTTAATGTAATTGGTGTAAAGCCGTGTTAACATCACAATAATAATAATAAATAAATTGTGTATTAGATTTACTCTAAGTGAAATGTTGCAAAAATCCACAAACAATACATTTCAAAGAAGCTTTTGTGTCTTGTTTTATGGTCAACATTACTATTCTGTTGGTTATGTTTATTAACAAATTACTTCTTAATTCCAGGCAGCATCTCTAGAAGATAGTAAAGTGTTAACAACGTGCGAGCTATACCCCGGTCCGTCGCTGCTGGTCCCGCAGCCTGAGTACGAGGAACTGGAGCTCGAGCACGAGCAACTAGAGCTGGAACCCGAGCAGGAGGAACTCGAGCAACTGCCTGAGGAACTTGTGATGGATGGACATGAACATAATATACCTGTAAGTAGCTTCGTTATTGTTGGTCTTAAATCAGGGCTGTCCAGACAAAGGCCCGCGGGCCGCATGCGGCCCATGGCTTGTTATCATGTGGCCCGCGACACTATAATCTCAACAACAAAAATAAAATTCAGTCTATGATTAGTACTTACCTATGCAAGTTTTGTCAAATTTTGAGTAAAGAACACAATGTTAAACGTCGTTATACAACTGAAAATATGTATCTGGCCCTTCAGCTTTTGTAAGAGATTTAATTAGCCCAGAGGGTATATAGTTTAGACAGTCCTGTCTTAAATCATAGGTATTTCAGGCGTCTGCCTTCGTACTAGTCTTTAATGTAAGGTATTTTGATAAGGATGGAATAATGATGATGTTAGCCAGTTAATCCATAGAAGATGTAATAGCATAATATTGCCAATAGGACGTAGTCTGTGATGTAAAAAGTAAGGCAATATCATCCCTGCCTTGCAAGTAGGAAGCGATAATGGAATGCCATATGGCATTTTGACATGCATGCCCCACTTCATAGTGTTTGTACAATATGTCTAATGCAAAATCAATCCAGACATCGCATTTATAACTTTGTGTTATTATGTTCAGGTAACAGATGAGCAGGGCAACCCACTCCACTTCACCATGCAGGACGGTACGCGACTGGCGATTACGTCAGCCGATGGGAAATCGTTGCAGGTGATAACTCAAGATGGACAGACCATACCAGTTGAAATAAATGGATTTGCTGATGAAGAGGTATTGTACATATTCCACTTATTTAATTATATATTTCTGATACTGTAGAATTTCTGTCATTCCCTGAAATTAGGTTCTCTATTAAATATGTCGTCGTTGTGGCCCGGAGGCTAAGACTTCTCATGCATGAGGGTGCGGGTTCAAAACCTATCAAAGGCAAGTGTATATGTATTTTCTAAGATTATTTAGACACCACTGACGGTGAAGGAAAACATCGTGACGAAACTTGGACTTATAATTTCTAATTATTAGTTTGAAATCGCGAACCCGCAATGAGCTAGCGTGGTGATTAATGCTCAAACCTTCTCCGTGTGAGAAGAGGCTTTGCTCAGCAGTGGGCATTTATAGGCTGTAGATGATGATGATTAAATATGAATGTAAAATGTAATTTTTTTGTTTACAGGAGGTGGATAATCCAGACACGATAGTTCATCAGCTGAACCTTCAGAAAAGCATCGATTCCAACGTCTCGTCGCCGGTCACACATTACTTTACAATCGTTTAATTACTACTCTGTGCCTTTAACCAAACGCCACATTAGTGCTTGTCTACCAGAAAGAGTAGAAAACTAAATGTATGGGAATGACATTGACAAGTGTCAAAATTTACGTCAATCCCATATAATTTAGTTTTCTATTCTAGATGTAGACAAGCGCTAAACATTTGGCTACAGCTGCTGTTTACGTTTCAATTGCGCTAACGGAAATATGATTGACATTATATGGTAAGTTCAGGCTTACCATAATAGAAGGATAATAGAAGTTTATCCGATTACCAATATTTCCAAAATATCCCATAGGTATATTATTATGTCGTAAACAGAAAGTATTATTGTTTTGCACACACAGATTGCAAACGAACATTTTTTTATAAAATATAGTTTATAATGTATACAATATTAAGCTGTAGCGATCTCGCTACAGTAGTTACCATATTTTAATAAATTGCCATTTTGCCACAGTTTTGTGTCACTATTTCAGGGTATAACAATGATATATTGACTTAGAATGTAGTGGGCTCAGCTCTAATTAACCAATTACAATGTGTGTATAGACGATAGATGATGACGGTATACTTTATGACTTCAAGATATTACTAGGTATAATTTGATACTTAAAGATCACATTGTAATATCTGATTTGACTTCAAACATCGTATTTGTCTGATTGTTTTTAATTCTATATTTAATTAATTAATAATATTGAAGATTTCAACGGGTCACTGATTATTATTATTGATTTTATAATTTTATTATGAGTTGATTAGTATTTGCATTTTGTTGTTTATTAATTCCAAATAATTAATTTTGATTATGTATGTTGAATATGATTATCGGCCCAACTTGTCACTTCGCGTGAGGTCTTTGTTCAGTAGTGATAGTGGTGGTATAATAAATATTTTACAGGCTCAATTTGTGGGCTTGAATTAAATGTTAACAGTAGTTTCATTTCATTTCTCTATACTCTCAGTCAATTAGCGCTTAAATTAATATTTGGCTTATGGCACTATTTATAGTAACAAAATGTACTAATCGAACATTAAAACAGGTAACATTCTTTCCGATAATATTGAAATGTCTTCCTTGTTAAACCTGTTCCTGTTGTCAATCCTGTATTTGGAAAATAATCTATTTTTAAGAAATTCAATTCAATCCTAAATAAATGGAGATTATTATTTGACTATCAACGTGTGGGGAATGTGCATTGATTATACGTTTTTCCGTCAAATGAGTGATTGTAAAAATTATGACTTATGTTTTATTGCCAACAAAGGCATCTCATTCTAGGCAACTTTACTCATTGGTCTGATACCAAAAACGTATATAATTTAAATTTATTTATTTATTATTAGGTACTAGAAATAAAATTATAAAGAACAAATACAACATTATGACGGGTAAAGTTGCTCACCGAATACGTTTTTATAAATACCTATAAAAATAGGTAGCAAATAAAATTTTTAGGTGAAAATTTTAAGTAATATTTCGGTCAGTGCTCGTAATTTTGGGCAGTAAAGTAAATTTTGTACTACTAGTACTACCAGTCTCAATATATGGGTCCACTATCCAGTAACCTTAATATGTGGGCTAGGTATTTGACAAAAAGACTATTTTATATTTTATTTCTCTGCCAACATTACAAGCATTGTATCGAATTTTAACTAATCTATTATAATTTCGTCGCAAACTTTATTAATTAATTGATCTCTATCAAAATAATCTATAATGATTAATTTTATTTCGTATAATTTGTATGTACGTAATTATAATTTTAGGAAATCATTTTAATGGAAATATACCAATTTTAAGTTAGAAAATGCCGTCGTTATCTAGTTATTATAAGACTTGTACAATAATAAGTCAGTCACAAATGTTTGGCCAATAGATGTAGACAGTATTATAATTCATTCTAATTTAATTGTTATGTAAATATGAATAAAGTTAATTTTTTATTACCAAATTTTGTATTTCTTAACAAACCTTTACTAAGTTTTTAACCTATATAGTTAATTATAGACAGGAGGAAAGAAAAAGTCCAAGCAAAAAAGGTTTATGAAATATGTTCTTGATTTAAAGAAATCAAAAAATAGCTGCGAAGTTGACGTCCGATAGGGACGAGCGTAGCCTTGGTAAGTACCTACGATAAATGTGGAGAGCAGTAAATATTTCGGGATAATAAAACAAAACATTAATATGAAATTCAATATTATTTCGTTATGGTTTTAAGTAATACAATATATTTGCATACAATATACTATCAGTAGTATATTATTGATGACCAATCATTAAACAATGAAAAATGATATTCATCAATTCTCCTTTAACATTCGTTTAATAAATAGCTGTATACAAAAAAACAATTATTTACAGGATAAGGCAGTACAATTACCACGTAAAATGTGCCTTTCTTAGTTTTAGCTATACAAGCAGTAAAAAAATGGGAATTGAATTAACATTGAATGGGGTCAGTTAAACAAATCTTAGCTCCAGTCAACTTGAACGTAACCACTAACGAGTTAAATATTATAACGAATAAGCGATAATATTAGTTTGTGAACTTGTTACTTAATGTGTGAGGAGACAGTTCTACTAAAACAATATCATTAATGTATCTAAATTATCGACCGTAAACTTTTGGGCTGTTCTATTTTTGAGACAATTTAATCAATTTGGAACGTATCGACCATCTCACTAATACATATGGCAAACATTGCGATTATACACTGAGTAACACATTTGTAACTAACGCAGCATTAATCAACGCATACATACGATACGGAAGCGGTCCGTCGCCACCGCCACGAGCTCGGCACGGGAACTAATTACAACACAAACACGCGGCGCGATACACTTACGGAACCGATCGAAGCAAACATAACAAACTCGATTCGAGCCGACATCCTCCCTAACTGTACAATATGACACAGGCACCGCCGGGCCGCCACCGTCCGCCGCCGCCATTCCTACAATTGATTACTATGACTCGAGACTGATTACAGCTTACTGGCGCCGTCGGACGGGGCGGCCGGTCCAGAACACTTCGGTCGACCACACACCTAACACAAGCAAAATTAACATAATTCTCATGTTCAATAAAAACAGCTTTCGCCGAGGAAACGCACTAACCGACATTTTAAAATACAATGTAATGGACACTGGCACTATTGCCCTACCATAGCGTTTAACTGAAGAGTAAAAAGGCTTGACTCGACTGCCGCCGGCGACTAGATAATGGATTCTTTAAAATTTAGTGTAACGTCTATATGACAAGCGCCATGTCTTTCTTGCTGGGCAGCTGTACCTTCTTGCCCTGCCACAGCGAGTTGTGTATCGTGAACGCGTCGATGGTCACCGTCAGGTGCTTCGTGTGCACTTGCGAGAAGCATTTGCTGCCCGAGTTGTATCTGGAAACAAATATCACACATTAATATTTTATACATGGACTTGATTACGATTAAATCTATTTATGAGTTGGAGGTAAACTTACTTGAAGAACTTGTCGAACATTCTATCATTGACGTGTTTGGGTCCCGTGCCGTAGAGCTTGGTGACCTGTTCTGTGTCGGGGCAGTACGAGTAGAGCGCGCGGAACTGGCAGCCCGCGTCCCGGAACAGTACGAGGAAGTGTTTGCTCTCGGAGCGCGCGATCTCCTCGAGCACGCGCCGCTTGGCCTCCGCGTTCACGGCGCCCGGGAACACGCAGTACTCCACTGCGTTCAGCATTATGCCGCGGTTCGACTTCGAGGAAGGTTGTTTGTACAGTCTTGGACCTGAACAGTTTTATAATTAGTATTTGTATTTACTATAATAAATATAGCTCTACACAATGCCGAAAATTATCACAAGCCAAGTTTCCTACAGAATGTTTGTGTTTTGCAAAATAATAATAAAAAACTCAAAAACTTTTGTCTAAAAAATCTTTTTGTAAGCAGTCTGATTCGAAATAATTCTACTAGAATCTGAATAAATGTGAAATTGTAATCTTATTATCTTATACATTACAATGTAACAATATTCAAACACCTATCAATGTGAACTTAAACTTTTACTAAAACTATATCTGAAAGTAAATCCTATAGCTATGTTTAATGTATGTATGTTTATTTACAACTAAATTAGTAAGTACAAAACGATGTAAAATGCACAGTGAATGCACAAGTTAAGTGCCGTGATTATGTGTTAATCTCAAGTCTGGTGAGGAAGCGAGTTTGAAGCGAGACACAATGCAGGTTCGTTAGATCAAATGCTGTTCGCAAAACCATGCCTTAAAACATAGATTGGTTCAGTTGGCATGACATCGCTGGAATACGGTGTTTCATCAAGTTTAGTGATTACTGTGTCGATAGTTCTAGAATACGTGTCGGTGGCAGACTAGCTACCTAGTAACTGTATGGTAAGGACCTTTGCGTCGACTTCTATCGGAGCTTCCTAGAGACAAATAATTCCTTGTAATCAGTGGTGTCGGGTTAAATCGGGAAACTCTGTGGTTTAATCGGAGTGTGCATTTTGTTGTTACGTATATTTTAATTGGTGCTCCATATTTAGTGCATTTCTTTGGGTCATTTTTCAACTTAAAATAGATGTTGTCCATATATATATAAAATAGTCTTAAAATTTCATAAACAGAATTAACATCAACGATGCAAACGCAAAACATGATTTTACATTTGCATTGTTGTCATCTCAACAATTGTACATAGACAAAAGTATAAAAGGCGAGTTGTATGCTGACCTGAGTAGTCCATGATGGAGGAGTGCGTGGAGGAGACGTCGGAGTTGTCGTCGTGATGCTGCCTGCGCTTGCCGATGGCGCCGGGCAGCGAGCCGGGCCCCGAGGCGGGCGAGCCCAGCGTGCGCACGCCGGGGGACGCGGCGCGCCGCGGCGGAGTCGCGCGACCCAGCCCCGAGTCTGCGGACCACACGCGATATACCTCCGCGATACACTAAGCTGATATAATCTATCCAACCCATAACTATTCCCAATCCTACCTACAATCCCCAACATATACAGTAAAAATATTTTTTTAATCCAACTCCCAATATTATTCACATTTAACGTAATTTCTTTTTTGTTGTTTGAACTCATTAAATTATATCACAGAATTAATTTATTCAACCCAGACGCTACACTAACCCTGGATTAAGTAAAAGTTTAAATTTTATTGACTAACATATTATTAAAATTAGTATAGAAATGTTTCTTTCATTGCCTACTCCTTTCTTTCTATTTTAATCTTGTTACAAAGCGTAAAATACGAAATGCGTGTCAACACTACGTATAAGGTGACATCTACTGCCGCTGAAGCGAAACTAAAAAGGCATAACTTAACAAAAAGAAGCGACATTTTGTATTTTACGCATAAATACACATGATAAACATATACATACGGGTTTTATAAAATAATTATGTAATATTTATAACAATTTGTCTAAATAATGTAAACACTTACAACCATAGACGTTTGTCTCATTATACAGGGCGTACATTTCAAATTAAGCATAGGTTATTTTTATTTTAAGAACCACCATTTAAGTGTGTTTAATTTATTCAAACTATTTTATATTTTGGACTTTCTGGACTGGTCACTGAATAATAGAATTACTTTTTAATAATAGACTTATGTATTCAAATACAATACGATCATATTTTAGTTGTATCTGATTAATAATAATTATCTATCATGAATGAAGTTCACATAGATAAATTTGTACATACACCCTGCATCGTGAGATAGTCCTCCTATT